GGCTGAAAAGGTTTACCCGGAGAACGAGGAAGGGGGACAACGCAACGCATCAGAGGACGCGACTTATGTTTTTTTTTTTAAAATGAAGGGCATAAATGGCAAAAATAAAGGAAATATATAAATTCTGGCTTGAGGTGGCGCCAATATATGTTATTTTTTGTTTCAATTTATGTGACAAAGACAAAATTAAAGAGTTAATCAAACTTTAATATTAATTTAAAATAGTTTAAATTTTTAATTATTGTTAACTATGGTAAAAATATTTTTATGTCTTTTAACATTCTAAATTGCTAATTATTGTTATATGATTTGTAATATCTTTACGCAATTTTGAAATAATAAAGGTTATTTCTTCTTTCTCAATTTATGTGGTACTAATAAAATTTCGAGATTCAATCAATTTTTTTTGTCTTTAAAATATTCTATTGTTAATTACTGTAAATTATTGTACTTTCTAAGTAATTTTCAAATAATATACATATATTATTTCATTTGTCCAATTTATGTGTCACCGATAAAATTTGAAGAGTTAATCAGATCTTTTACATATTTTTATATCTTTTGAATATCTAAGTAAATAATTATTGTGATTTATAATATTTTATACAATTATTAAAAAAAAATTAAACAACAAACAAAACGAATTCATCATACATCAATAATGGGTCCCACTTTTTGTTTAAAAAAATATGCATAATGGGAGAATATTTTTGTCCAAAGTGGAAATAGAATAAGTATAAATCATTAAAGTCTTTTAAAATTTTAAATTGTTAATTCTTATTGTATGATTTGTAATACTTTTACGCCATTTTCAAATAATAGAGGTCATTTCTTCTTTCTCAATTTATGTAGTACTAAAAAAATTTTGAAATTCAATCAATTTTTTTTGTGTTTGAAATATTTCTAGCCGTTAATTACTGTAATTTATAGTACTTTCTAAGAAATTTTCAAATAATATATATTATTTCATTTGTCCCAATTTATGTGTCGCCGGTAAAAATTGAAGAGTCAATCAGATATTTTATATATTTTTATATCTTTTAAATATTTATGTAATTAATTATCGTGATTCATAATATTTTATATAATTATTTAGTATAGTAAAATAAATTTAAAAGAAACAAACAAAACGAATTCATCATAGGAAATTACCAAAGCATCCTTCAATACATCAATAATGGGTCCGACTTTTTGTTTTTAAGAAATTGCACATTCGAAGGATATTTTTGTCCAAAGTGGAAATATTGTGTAAAAAATGTGTATTTATTGTGATTTTGAATGTTTTGTGGGGTAATATGATGCACGCAAAGTTAATGTGTCTTTTTGAAAATTTGGGACAACTTCAAATATCACTTAATGTTTTTTCTCAAAATCTAATTTACTTTCGTAAACTATGTGTCAGATCAAAATCAGATTAACAAATTCAAAAGGAATGAGTAATAAATAGCTCATACAAAACTAAATAATAAATATGTAACTAAAAATCTTGTTAGCTTTTGGTTGAAAGCTAACAAAATAGTTAGAATGATAGTTGCATTGTGGCTTATTATATATATATATATATATAACAAGATTAATACCAAATAGAGTGTATAACTAATGTAAGACATGTTGAAAAGTTATTACTACTACATCTAGCCTATAGTCTGTAAGATAACTAGTTAAAAGTCTTTATTAAATATATAAATATAAAAATAGTTGCACGATGATCCTCACCTACATCTTGTTAGGATCGAAATAAGCAGGTGTAACGTGAAAGCTAGCAAAACAAACCTCGAAAGACCATGAGTAAGAAGACAAATGAGAAACACACTAAAAGACACAAAGATTTAACGTGGTTCGATATTTTGTCAGAAATTCAGGCCAAGGGGGAGATTTGAGGATTGTTGCATGATCGCCGGAATGGCGGTCTCCTCCACGTAGTTGTGAGGGAGAGAGTTGTTGGGTTTAGGATTTTTTTTTTTCCTTCCTATGTGGATAAATAAAAGTCTTATTAGGACCAGTCCACTTTAGACCATAACTCCAATATTATGTGGCATATATAAGGCTTATTTGGTCTTATTTTTAGAAACACAAGAGAAAAAAATCAAGAGAGATTCGTTTTAGAGATTGAGAGAAACAGAGAAAAATCTCGTTTTTGCTTCTGGAAATTTTCTACTCATGCAGTCCGATTCAGACAGAGTTTTCCACTTCGTTAACCGTTGGATCGTTTTCAAATTTGAACTGGGAGTTCTCAGCATCTGGTTCTTGCAATTCAACGGTGGAGATCGTATTTAGTGGTCTGTAGCTTCAATCTCGTTTTGTTGTTGCTCGTTGTTAGACGCTTGTTTTGTGGCCAATTTTGGACAACAATTTTATAACTCTTGGTGTTTATAGTGGAGCTTTCGGTCATGTGGTTTTTTACTCTTCACATTGAAGGGTTTTCCACGTAAATCGTTGTGTCTTGAGTGATTGGTTTATTCTTATCTTGTTGTTTTTGTTTGGTTGATATACTTAATGTCCATTCTTTGTATTGCTTGATTTGGTTTGTCTTCTATTGGTTCAAATTGAAAGGAAAAGTTAGACTTGGGTATTATTCCGCTGTTATCCTGTCGGACATTCTTGTTAGTGCCTTGCCTTTCGAGTGAATTGGTTGAGGTTATTTCTCTCTATATTTTGTACTCTCATATTTATAGTGGATTGCTCATCTCCTTTGTGGACTTAGGTTGATTGACCGAACTACATTAAATCTTTGTGTCTTTTGGTGTGTTTCTTGTTTGTCTTCTTACTCGTGGTCTTTCGAGGTTTGTTTTGCTAGCTTCCGTGTTACACCTGCTTATTTCAGTCCTAACAAGTGGTATCAGAGCCATGGTTCAATGATGGAACCACGTTAGAGATGTGTGTTCATCTTGACGGGTGTAGTTTTAGCCGCAACCTTTTTGACAATAATGAAGATTTTGTTGGAGAAATTGTTTTAGAGAGGTTCTTTGTGTCGAAATGTAGATTTGATAGATGAGATTATGGAGAAGAGATGCAAGATCCTAAAGATTATGTGAATAAAGTGTACAAATTTATTTTGTCAGAAATTTAGGCCAAGGGGGAGATTTGTTGGGGTTTATTTGCCCTGATTTCTTACCATAAATAGGTTTTCCTTTTAGGAAAAGGTTTTAATATTTTGACTAGTTCTTTTCTTGTAGGAAAGGTTTTAGGACTCTATAAATATAAGCTTGTTCCTTCTAACTTAATCAGCATTCACAATGTAGTCTTAGGTTTTGAGAGTTTCTGTTATGGGGGAGAATTTGTGAACCTACTTGTATTCCGAGTGAATTGGTTGAGGTTATTTCTCTCTATATTTTGTACTCTCATATTTATAGTGAATTGCTTATCTCCTTTGTGGATGTAGGTCGATTGACCGAACCACGTTAAATCTTTGTGTCTTTTGGTGTGTTTCTCGTTTGTCTTCTTACTCATGATTTTTTGAGGTTTGCTTTGCTAGCTTCCGTATTACACCTGCTTATTTCGGTCCTAACAGATCTATGGAGTTGAAATTCATTTTTAAAACGGTCAAGATGAGCCACTCACTACCTATACATATAAGAAAGTTTTGAAGCCTCAACGATCTTTACCTTTTTGCTTGATTATTAACCTTCACTTTGTTCCAATAGTTGCATTTTTATGGAGTCATGAATATCGCTCAAGGAGTAAATATAAAGACTCTGATTATATCTGCTCCTTGAGCGATGCAAAAATCAATAATGTAATACTCACTCATAAATTATTGGCAACAATAATTTTCATATTACATTGTATACCTCGAGTAACCATAAGAGTGCGTCTATCCTCCATTAATTGCGAAAAATAGAGCTCCAACTGGATTTTCTATGACAAGTAGATAATGATAGAGCAACATTGACATTTAACAAACATAAAAATCATATTTGTATGTTATAGCTATAGTTTGCATAATTGCGCTCCATAGCAAACATAGTTATGTTTGCTATGGAGCATCAAATTGTATAAATCGTTGGGGGCATCAGATTTGTATAAAATCGTTGGCAGCCTCTCATTTGTATAAATCGCTGGCAGGCTCTCATTTGTATAAACCGTTGGCAGCCTCTCGTTTGTATAAATCGTTGGCAGCCTCTCAATTCAATTTTATGTGTTTGTATATCTGCATAAAATTTGAATTTGTATACAATTGAATCGAAATAAAACGTTTGTATATCAAATCTCTCTCTCGCTTTATACAAACACAAATTATACATTGTATTTTTTGTATAATCTATGTTTGTATAAAGCGAGAAAGAGAGAAAGACAAAAGAGAACTGAGCAGAGGAAGATTTGTATTGTATAATTATAAGTGTATAGGACGAAGATATATATATATTTGCACGTGTATATACAATTTTCTCTCGCATTATACAAACAGAAATGCAATTTATATATTTGTATTTGTATAAAGTGAAAGAGGCAAGGGAGAGAGGGAGAGTGGCGAGCGAGAATTTCAGGGAAAGGCGAATGACAACAGTTTGCTACATGTTACAATTAAATCAAACTATGGTTATAATATTTAATTTGAATTAATAATTTGCTATTATATACAATTTTCCCACAATGATATGGGCCTAACAATTTTTCACATCATTAACTTTTCAAGTCCAAGGACCTGAACTGAAAGTGACCAATGATCTTGAATATTTTTAACGGTCGCTTGCCTCATTGGCAAAATCTTCAAGGTCAAAAGTGTTGTTCATGGGCAAGCAGGATCAAAAGTTAAAAGACAATCCACTTCCAAAGTCATTCTTGTAAATCACCTGATACAACATAGTGAAACAAGTATGCTATGTGACATGCAATTTTATAAGACATTAGCTCTCCAAGGTTTCCATTGTATCCATACATTCCCCAAGAGGGGCTCAAAATGAAGGAAAGAACTGCTCTGAGTTAGTGATATACTACTATGCACTGTGCTAACTAGGGTCCAAGCACTGCTACATATACATAATTTAAGCTTTGGTTACATCACCCCATCACTTCCATATCTTCATCAGAGAAAGGAAGAAACTTCTCTCTGTTTGGGCTTTCACGAACATTATACTTAACAAGCTTGACTGGTGTTCCTCTTATATCTGTGTCCTTCACTAGATCTTTGCGCTTTCTGCTACTATCAATAGGCAATTTATCTTTACAGAGGTAAGCATTAGAGAATGTTTTGTCCAATGAATCGTTCATTTCCTCATCCCCAATGCATTTTCCTTCCCTATGCTCTCTCTCTTTATCAGTCCAGCCTCTGGGCTGAACTTCAGGGAGAAAGCAGTCCGGCCTTGAAATGCATATTGCTGCCTTGGCATCGAACTTCAGTTTGTCATGATCAAACACCCAGAGACCTTGGTCTTCCAGGACAAAAAGCCACTCTGTGGATACATGCAACTTATCTTAGAAAACACAAACATGACAATGGAGAAAAAGTATTAATATATTATCCACAAGGTAGATTTGCTATTGATTTTGAAGAGCATCACTATGGTCTGCAATTTTCTAAAACCTTAGCCTCATAGGAAGGAATAAAACTATGAAACTGATCGGTATAAGCAAAATCAAAACGGTCTAATGTACTCAAATATAAACCAAGACTAGATAAAAGACATACTTATGAGAGCTTTAGGTGTCATAGGTTTTGGATTACTCAGGTTCTCTTCTGTGCCAGCTCGGACAGAGACCCATTTAAGTAACTCACTGGGTAGCTGAGACTCAGAGAAAGCATTTACATAAGCAGTCAGCCTATCTTGATCACATATTTCCCTAAAAGCCAACAATTCCCAAATTTATTAGCAGGTAACAAGTTAACAAGCTTCTTTTCAAATTTTAGTGCAGCAATTTTCCCCTACCTAGCAAACTGTATGGCGTTGTCCGCTACCAAGGACCATAGCAAAACCAAGTTCCTGAAGTAGGATTCTGGTGGCTGAAACCATCTGCCAGAACTTATAAATGAATGATCAACCAGTATCACAGCATCATACAAAAGTTTCTGTAGAACAACTGCATCTTCAAAACTCTGCAACAATAAATATTGAAAACAATAAGTGAAGAGCTTAGCCTTACAAAAATCAATCTTGATCTGCAAATTTGTAATTTGCATTAGCAGGGACTGGACACATCCTTAAAACCAGTATAAAACATCAAATGCACACATACAAACAGAGTGAGGAGCACAGCAGAGCATGGAACTTGTTGGGACATCGTACGTGCTATCCACTCTTAAATCTTTGCGATAATGAAGGTTGTCATGAATACGTACCAATAAGGCAGTGACCACAAGCTTTTTTTCCGAGAGAATTCTGAGAAGCATATCTACAACAAGTAAAAACTCAAAGCCATCAAGAATCAAGTGAAATATTGTCAATATAAAGCTTGAATACATGTCTTGGCTTTCAAATCCCACTTCTAACACTAAAAATACAACTATTTTAAGTATAAATAGAAGTTCATGTCTCAGCTTAAAAAGAGCAAAGCAAAAAGTGCAGCTAATTCAGTTTACTAAGGTTTTATCATGCAATGAAGTAAAAAACTCAAAGTAAATTACCTAGAAAGGATTATAGAAATTGGAGGTTCAAATACTCCCACTTCCAAGTAGTTTCTTATTCATGGTACATGTGGGATAAGTGATGCTGGCAGATAAAGAATGATCGATCCACTTTTGCCAAGATAAGTTTTCTGGAAGCACACAACTGCTTTTCTTCACGTAGGCTCCCTAACATGATATTCTGCTGTTTGCTTTTCCAACTCAATTACAAAGTCCCTTGGAATATATCATCCCATTATGCTATGTGTACTGTTTAATATACAACTAAAAGTAGCAATACCAGCGAATGCAAGTATTAAGATTTCATGGAAAGAATATTGCATCAGTAGATAGAAAACTTTATGCATATGCACATGGAGGATTTAAATAGAGAATAAGTTGCTCGAAAACAAATTACACTTCAAAAGAAATGGAGTTCCATGACATGAACTCTTCAAGAATACCTAGCATATCATAAAGAATTCCTAGAGCAGCTGAACAGCCTTACTTCACATGCAGCAGCTTCTTTTCACAAACCATCAATGATCAACCGAACTCCAAAAAAATCAAAAGAAAAGAAAACTGATGGAAATAATATTGAACAACCTCAGCAATCAGCATTTTATATCTCTTGCTTTAATGAGACAGAGAATATATTGGATGTGCTGTCCTTAGTTTTTCAAAATGAAAAAAGAACCTCAGCCAAGTCACAACAACACAAGCACAAGAATCCTAAAGGTTCCCAACTTTAGTGATAAACAACCAACTTAACTCGCAACCTAAAAGCATATCAATATTTTTATCCATAAATTCAAGTTGTGACCAGCAAAAGAAATATAAGTCGGACTACCTGCAATGAGACCACACTGACCCCAATACACTGGACCCCTATGTGCTAACTAACTCCAAAGGGCTTCATAATAGAACATGAATGTGTAAGGGTGTACAATTAACAATGGGTTATACAGTAAAGCCATCATGGAAAAAGTAACATCAACTCAAGCAAAAATGAGTGACACGCAAGATCCGATAAAGGGTTGTCCTCAACACAATGGTTTTTTTCCAATGAAGGAGTGAAAAAAATGGATTTGTTTTCAACATTCCAGTAACATCTACAGCTAATTGATTGGTGAAATAAGGAATTTAGTACGGACAACAACATGCCCGGTATAATTCCACAAGTGGGGTCTAGGGAAGGTAGGATGTACTCGGACCTTACCTCTTTTGGGGTAGAGAGACTATTTTTGATAAACCCTCGGCTCAAAACAAATGTAAGCAAAGCATGATAGAAAGAAAAAAAAATTCGACAGCAAAATAGCAAGATAAACAAGACAAATGAAACAACAGATAATAGTGAAATTTTAGATAATAAGATCACTTGGCTACCTATTACCCTTCTACCCTTATTATCGACCTCTGAATCTTTCTACCTTGGGTCATGTCCTCAATAAGCTGAAGATGTGTCATGTCATTTCTAATCACCTCCTCCAGTTCTTCTTCGGCCTACCTATACCTCTCCTAAAACCTACTATAGCCAACCTCTCAAGGAATTTAGTACAGAAAGGCATACAAATACAAGCACAATGATATTTAATTATTCATATGATGCAGACAATATGACGTAATATCATAAGACCTATACATTTAGAAACTTGGTAAGACATTAGGAAAAAAACCCGCTATAGATTAGTATTATTTGGTTATTGTTATTAGGAAACATAGCATATTAAGTGGATCAATTTTAGTCAGCCGATGACACTGGTATCCTCCTAAATCCCCATAAAAAACTATGCTAGACTTATTACTGGGCTGCCATTACTGCCCATTTTCTTACAAAATTTGATATGGATTTTGTTGTCTCTTTATGACTGGTCGGAATAGGAAGGTGATGTTTCTGTACAGAAATTACATATTAACAGTAATAGGGGAAAAAAAACAATGAGCTATGATACATAATCAGGTAATAAAACTTGAATCTTTTCAAGGGGATACAAACTAGCAAGAACTCACCTAAAAATTCAATATTTTGGAACTGCTTGAGAGTCTGAATTGCCCAGTTTCGTGCATCCTTTTGGAACTCCTCATTTACAAACCTCATATTAAACTTCAAAGACAAAGCAAGCAAGAACACCTCACACATTACAATACCAGCTAGATCCCTGATCCCGCGCCTACTTTTCTGACCTTTCTGAACCTCAACTCTAACAATCGGAAAGAAAACTCCTAAGTTCTCCTCAAGTTTAGCACACTTCCCAACCAAATCAACCATCCAAACCCCAGCCAATTCCTCAAAACAAACAATATCCTCATCAATCACATTTCCATTTTCAGGCACAACCAAACATAGACATATATAATCAACAATTTTCTCTACCAACTCCCTAATTTCACTAGTCAAGCACAATCCATTTCGCGAAAACTCACAAACTATATCATGCAAAACATAGATTAACGGGGCAAGCAAGGCAATCTTTTTCGTCCCATTACACGAACACGAAATTAGCAACTGAAACAAGTCCTTAGCAACAATAGTTTTGCTAAAACCAGCTGATTTTGAAGAGTGAAAAGTGACAGCAGAGTAAAACCATGTAATTTCAAGAGGTGGGTCAGGCATTGTTTGGACTAAACGAAAGAAAATGGACTCAAAAACAGAGAAATCACAACTTCCATTTCGGTATGAGGCCAAGAAGTGATTGATTGATTCTTTCAACATGGGCTCGAAGCCCATTGTTGATTGACACATCGAAAGAGATTTTGAGGTTGTAAATGAAAGCTGAAATGGGGTTTTCTCAAGCTTGATTTTGGAAGAATTTGATGGGATTTAGGGTTTAACAGTAACCTCAAAACCCTAGGTTAAAGGAGTTGATGGAGGTGGGAATTTTTGGGGTCTATTTGTAACGGACATTTTGTTTTTTGAATTTGGTTTTGGGACTTGTATTATTGTATGGATGCGGGAATAATAAAAGAAAGAGTAAAACAAATAGCACCAACTCCATATTTCCTTTTCTAAAAAAAATATGAAAAAATAACGTATTCATCAATTCTCAACAACACATTTATATTCTACAGAAGTCCTACTATCCTCATTTGATTTGACGAAAAGTTATGTTGGAATTAATTATGATAGAATAAGTTATGACGAAATTAGTAATATTGATTGCTGAGGTTATTTTTTTAGGGTAATGCTAAATAACCAAAAAATTTGGCTAGAAATTTAAAAAGTTTATAATGTTTTTTTTAATTTTAAAATAAACTATATTTTTTCTATTTTTTAATTAAAAGGTATTAAAGTTAAAAGGGTCAAAATGTTTTAAAAAGTAAAATAACATATGAAAAATATCATTCTGGTCAAATTCTTGCCAAATTTTCTGGTGAAAAGAATTTTTTCATTTTTTTATTGATTATTTGGTTAGTTATATTCAAATAATATGCATGACATAATTTCTAAGATTAAGTACCCTCCATTTTATTTATTTATTTATTTATACTTTCTTTGAAAGCTTTAGTTTCTCACTCTTAAGAATATAAATTTCATCTTACTTAGATTATATTCTCATAATTATATCGTGTGTTTTTAATTATAAAATATTTATCTTATTTAGCTTAAAAAAATAAAACTTTCATCTTAAATTTGTTAAAGTAAAATAGATTTTTATTATTGATGTCACTTTATTTAAGCAATATTAAGTTATCTTTATTTTAATTTATTTATAAAATGCATTTTTTCAAGTGATTAAAAAACTATTTAATTAAAAATATGTAATTCAACATTGGAGTGAATATTTTAAGAGATATCAAAATATAAATAAACATAAGAATTAGTCAAATAAATTCAACGTATAATATACTTATAAATAAAAACTATATTTATATAGTGTAATTTTTTAATGAAAAAATATATAAGCATAAAAATAATGAGTAGTGAAGATTGTGAATGTTATTATGAATGGTATTAAAAACTATTTGAATATACATGTATGTAAAAGTGATGTATAAAAGAGGGTTTAAGAGAGTACTTAGGAATAACTTATCACAATCATAATTATTAATCAAATAAAGAACTAAGGAATACTAAAAACTTATTCGAGAATTATTCTTCCTTACTCATTACATCAAACGATCCCTTAAAGTATTTTAAATTGAAATTCGTTCCATCTTCAATGGTGATATAACATAAAGAGTGAATTTAAAGAGAGTGAGAAGCAACATTGTAAAAGTTATTTTTCTACTTTTACTTTTTTTTATTGAATACAGTCTTCTATCTTTTTTTAAATAGATTTGATTAGAAAATATCTAACAAATTCAATCCTTTTTAAAAAGCATATTCATCGACTCAAATGGTGATATGGGTAAAAGGGAATATTTACTTTTAATAAACAATACTAACATTTTAATTTTAACGATAATCGTTTTTATTTTAGGTATAAAACATATAATCCGAATTTAATAATATTCATGATATTTCTAGAGTGGATTTTCCTGTTATTTAGTTTTAGGATTTTATAATTGAATCTGGTAAGAGGAGAGAGAAAGAGACCTTGAATTTTTGGGATAGATTCTTTAAATTAAAAAATTGATGCGTTGAAAAAATTATATTGAGAAAGTTATAAAAAAAAATTCATGTATTTTAATAGGAATTATCTCTCCGTGAAGTATAAATGTATAGTTGAGAATTGACGAATATATTGGGAGAAATTTTAACTATTTTCTCTCTAAACCAGAAAAAAGTTAAAATGCCCTTAACGTATTAATAATGGTTTGAAAATACACTTCGTTTATCTATGGATCAAAATTGTTCTTAACATTAAAATGTTGTTTTTAATAGAATGATGACATGTCATTAGTGAGGTCTTCTAATTAAACAAGTGACATTAGTTTATTGGTCCACATTGACTTTTAACCCTACCACTAAGAGTCTACTTGTCCATTACAAACCCAACAAACAAACCCTTTTAAAATAATCTAACTCTTTAATTCCTTTTCATTTTACACAACAAATAAGTTACAAAATTGCATTGCAACTTTCTGTAACAATCCGTTAGGTCGTTTGAGCACTGAAACTCTTTCCTTCATAAAAGGCCCTTCTTTAAAAAATTTAAATGGAAATCCTAGACTAATTGTTTAACTATGGTTATTTAGTTAATGACCATTTTGTTAAATAATTAATTTGTTGATAATAATGGGTCAAGTTTATAATTTATTTAATACCTTATACCATATTGCCATATTTGTAAAAAATATAAGTTAGTGAGTTTTATCACATTTAGAGGTCGTTTGGTGTGAGGGATAAAAATAAATAGTGATGGGATAAGAAATTAGTGATGAGAAAAAAAAATTGTATCTTGTTTGGTTGCCTTGTTTGGGATAACTTATCCCACCATTTATAGTATAGTGATGGAATAAGTCATCCCATATACATGGTGGGATAAGTTATCCCAGGATAGCTAACCCATGATAACTAATTCTGGGATAACTTGTTCCCAACCAAAAGACCCCCTAATCTATAATGTATATGAGCATAAATTTATCATCATCATCATCAACGTCGTCGTCGTCGTCATCATCATCATCATCAGTTGTTGTTGTTGTTGTTTGATGAGTAAATATTTGGCTTTTAAATGGTTGCCATTTGAGTTTGACAAAAAGGTGGGTAAAATCTTATTCTTTTGGTTACTGGTGATGATGATGTCACCATTGGATGACATATATTTTTGGGTTTAGATGTAAGAAGACTTTTGGTTCATGGCCGCCACTGGTTATGGAATCAGTGGTTTCAAGTTCTATTAATATTAATTGTTTATCATATTATAAGTTTAGTTTTTGATATATTGAGATACATAACTAAATATTAGGTGCATTGTATTATAGGAATATAATTAAATTTATGATATTTTGATAAATTAAGACATAACCTTAGGCTTAAAATTTAAGTCTATGAGACTTGACATATTTAGTTAGATTTATGAATTTAATTATAGATTTGGGGAATTTTGGACCTAGGCTAGACCTATAATAATATGGGTGTCTATGGACTCACTTGCTTACGAATATTGCATATTTGATAGATTTGGAACATTCTGAAGCTTTATGGAAGGGAAAGACGGAATCTTGAGGAATTCTTGGCACATGTTCGACCTTCGAGGTATGTTAAGTCTTTTAGATTTTGTTGAAGGAAATTTTCCTAATTAAAGATTAAAAATGGAATAGACAATGGGTAAGGGCGAAAGACGGGGGTCTCGTACCAATAGTGTGACGGGCATTGGTACGAGTACCAGTGTTATTAAATAGAAATTTTATTACTATAATATGATCGATTGTAATTCGAGAATACCAAAGCATATGGACATTAGCTGATATATTTAGTGACTTGATTTCTTTTGTGTGGTTGTGCTTTTCTATTGAACCTGTATATTTGTGATAATTGAGGAGATTATATGTCATAGAGATATTTGATTTATTGAAATGCTTCATCATCCCTTTTTATTGATGTTATATTGTGCACATGCATTGACATGAGATTAACTATGAGTAAAGGTCTAACACGTGGTGATCATCCGTATTGAGATCGAGTTATGATTATAATTTGGACATGTGGAGATCGTCCGTGTGAGGAATTGTTTATGATTATAAGTTGAGCACATGGAGATCGTTCATGCTGGGATTGTTTGATTTTATGATAGTGCATTGAGATCGTCTGCACAGACACATCAAGATTATCCGTGTCGGTATATGGACCTCGCGAGTCCCCCATGGGTCATGAACTCTTGATGTATTTTCGAGGAGTATAATGTATATACAGTTGAGAGAGTACTTGGCATCTGAGGCATATAATTTCATGGTGTCACATTGCATTGCATCTCATTACATCCCTCACTCTAATTAATTATGTACTTTATTGGTGGTTGGACATTGCGTGATATTTGATTATCCTTATTTGATGAAACTTGACTGATAAGTATAATGTAGACTGGTAAAATTAAAGGATGATTTTCTTATATACTCTTGTCACTACTTCTTCGTTGCCGGTCTATGAGATATAGTGGGTATACGTGGTTTCGTACTCATACTACACTTGTTGCACTCTTTTGTGGTGCAAATTGAGTTTCAAATTCAAGCACATTTCTTGGAGCTTTGAGTTTGAGTTGGATTATCTTGGAGTTGTGGTATGCTGCTTGGATATTCTACAACCCACACCTTCATCTATCTCTATTTATTAGATTGTTTTGGTATTCTGATAGGATATTTCTTATGTTTAGACTTGTCATATTAGTATGGACTAGTATCATATTTTAAAAGTTCTTGTAGTTATGACACCAAAATCTTGGATGGTATTTAGCTTTTTGCACTTCATACTTATGAAAGACTTAGTATGTTAGGTATTCTAATTTTTGTTTGCCTTTTCACCTTAATTATTTAGTTAAATTGGTAAAACTAGTAGGCTGACTTACCTATCACTTGGAAACATAGGTGCCATCACGACATGTGAATTTTGGACTGTGACACTTCCAATCCGTTCTTGTCCCATGATATATATACTTAAACTTTTGTTGGAGAGTTAAAAGAATTTTTTTTGAATATCTTTTTGGGAAAATGCACAAGTTTCCCATTCAACTATACACGAAATTTCAGCAACACACCTTAACTATACATGAGTCGTATTACCCCTTGAATTATTTTTAAGTGTAATAAACACACCCTTAACACAACCTAAAACCTATATAGCCACTCACATGATGGGAGGTGTTTTACACTCGCCTCCAAGTCATTATTATGTCAGTGCCACGTCAATCAATGATCAAATCTCTAAAAAAAAACTATAAAATTCCATGTCATTTGATTCCTCTTCTTCATTATCAACACCCACTCCATAACCACTAAACCCACTTATTTTAACCATTAAAACTCATAG